CTCCGAGAAGTACAGCGGGAGGGCCAGTTTCGGGGATGTGTGAGAGGAGATTATCTAATTCGTCCAAGAAGTCCCCCAAGGCGCCTGGTGGACGGTAGAGAACAACAATGGTTAACTGTATAGGATGGGTTACTGTGACGGCATGGAATTCAAAGGTGGAAGGAGTGAAGTTAGGTAGCTGAAGAGGGAAAAGCTCCATTTGGGAGAGAGCAGGAGACCAGTGCCACCTCCTCTGCCAGTGGGTCTGGGTGTATGGGAGAAGGAATATGCTGTGGAGAGAGCTGCTGGGGTGGATGTGTTGAATGGAGTAATCCAGGTCTCAGTGAGAGCAAGGAAATCCAGAGACTGCAGGGAGGCGTAGCCAGAGATGAAGTCAGCCTTAGGAACAGCTGACTGGCAATTCCACAGGCCACCTGAAACTAGATGTTGGATCTCAGTGGAGCATGTGGGATAGATGAGAGCAGGCCGGTTATAGCGATTAGGAGATACACGGGGCCAGTGATAATTGCGAGAAGACACATGAACAGGAATGGAGAAAATACACATGATTATAGCATGAGGGGCTAGAAAACTAAAGAAAAGAGAAATAAGACACCAGCTCAATCAGAGTAGGATTTGCCTCCTCTTTGCCTCCCTCGTGACTCCCGTAGGACTCCAATGTCTTTGTCAGTCTTTGACTCCCGTAGGACTCCAATGTCTTTGTCAGTCTTCGGCTGTCTGACGCTTAAACTGACGCTCCAGGAAAGAGCTACCTAAAATGGATGCCTGATTGCTGAGTTCTCACAGCTGTAGGGCCACGCCCCTCTAATTAGTTAACTATCTACAGCTGATGGGCGACAATAGACTGGCCCTGTCTCTATTGTAATGCAGGCTTGAGTGCTGAGACCTGTGCATCAGGTTTCGCCTGAGCAGATCTGAGATTTAAAATCTCTCAAAAGCGCCGTATTAGCTACAATAACTACAGAACAATTATACAGAGTAGAATAAATGAAACAGAGAAGTCTAATTAAACAAGAATATAACTTACAGTGGTTGCTGCGTCAATAGGTAAAATCTTCACCCGGTCCAGATGCACACTGAGTTAATCAGATTTTAAATGCGATATGTAAATGCTTTTTTAGGTGAAAGATGACTAAGTCACGCTGTTGTACTTCACGCAATCAATAGACTGGCCCTGCCTCTATTGTAATGCAGGCTTGAGTGCTGAGACCTGTGCAGCAGGTTTCGCCTGAGCAGATCTGATATTTAAAATCTCTCAAAAGCGCCGTATTAGCTACAATAACTACAGAACAATTATACAGAGTAGAATAAATGAAACAGAGAAGTCTAATTAAACAATAATATAACTTACAGTGGTTGCTGCGTCAATAGGTAAAATCTTCACCCGGTCCAGATGCACCCTGAGTTCATCAGATTTTAAATGCGGTATTTAAATGCTTTTTTAGGTGAAAGATGACTGAGTCACGCTGTTGTACTTCACGCAATCAATAGACTGGCCCTGCCTCTATTGTAATGCAGGCTTGAGTGCTGAGACCTGTGCAGCAGGTTTCGCCTGAGCAGATCTGAGATTTAAAATCTCTCAAAAGCGCCGTATTAGCTACAATAACTACAGAACAATTATACAGAGTAGAATAAATGAAACAGAGAAGTCTAATTAAACAAGAATATAACTTACAGTGGTTGCTGCGTCAATAGGTAAAATCTTCACCCGGTCCAGATGCACACTGAGTTAATCAGATTTTAAATGCGGTATTTAAATGCTTTTTTAGGTGAAAGATGACTAAGTCACGCTGTTGTACTTCACGCAATCAATAGACTGGCCCTGCCTCTATTGTAATGCAGGCTTGAGTGCTGAGACCTGTGCAGCAGGTTTCGCCTGAGCAGATCTGATATTTAAAATCTCTCAAAAGCGCCGTATTAGCTACAATAACTACAGAACAATTATACAGAGTAGAATAAATGAAACAGAGAAGTCTAATTAAACAATAATATAACTTACAGTGGTTGCTGCGTCAATAGGTAAAATCTTCACCCGGTCCAGATGCACCCTGAGTTCATCAGATTTTAAATGCGGTATTTAAATGCTTTTTTAGGTGAAAGATGACTGAGTCACGCTGTTGTACTTCACGCAATCAATAGACTGGCCCTGCCTCTATTGTAATGCAGGCTTGAGTGCTGAGACCTGTGCAGCAGGTTTCGCCTGAGCAGATCTGAGATTTAAAATCTCTCAAAAGCGCCGTATTAGCTACAATAACTACAGAACAATTATACAGAGTAGAATAAATGAAACAGAGAAGTCTAATTAAACGATGTATCCATAGATCTCTTAATGTTGCTCTCAAAGTGTACTAGATTGATGCTTTTAACTTCAATATTTAAAAAAACATCTTCCCGGGGGAGCATGACCCCGGACCCCCCTAGAGGAGGTTAGGTCCCCCCCCCACTTAAATCATGTTCACATGGATAGGATACTAAACACATTTGCTCACATCTTGTGTCCATATCTTTCTGTTTTGGTGGTCATGCCACACCGTGCACATGCATGCATACGTGAGTCATGGTGAGATATCTGGATTAAGAGGTTGCTTTTTCTTTGCACAGCATGAAAGAAAGGCCAAATTAATGGGCTGTGGTTTTAGTTTTTTTAAGCAAAGGTTGAGTTCAATAATTTGTACGACCCTCAGAGGATGTTGTAAAAATGTAAAGGAAAAAGGTTCCCCACCCCTGCTGTAAAAATAATAAAAGCCCTTGATTTTTAACTTAACATCTCTGTCTCCTATTGATCTGAGTATATTATAAAGAACAGTTCATTGAAGCATTATAGCACAGGCCTTTGTCAGATGGTATATTACGCAGTTTTTTTTCTGCTTCGAATAGTTCTCTCTTTTTTCACCATACCTGTGTTTGCATCCCTGAAACCAATGAGCACCTGCATGTGTATGAGAATGGCCCTGACACCATTTCAGCCCAGATTTACAAGCTCCTGGCAGGACAAGCTCCAGCTCAATTCTCACACTGAATAAAAAGTGAGTGAGGGACTGCAATATAAGAGGGAAAGAAAGAGAAACTTTAAAACTGTTCAATGGTTATGATGTGTAAAGACTGATATTGTTCTATAATCGGCTGAAACTGTTAAGTCATGATGTGAAACGGTTAACAAAGAAGAAGAGAAACTCAAGCTGCTGCTACACTTTATTTTATTTATCTAAAATTAAGCACTTTTAAGATGCACATATTTTCAAAAGCTATTTGATTTATTTTCTCTATTTTATTTGTAAATGCAGCCCGAGAGGAACATTACACATATCCACAGTATTTAAGTAATGTTAATTGACAATAAATATTGTTGTTTTTGAATTGTACTTTCTTTATTTGATTGGCAGTCAGTTGTTGATTACATGCAGATGTTGATAAAGCTACAGGTCACTTTAATATATATATATATATATATCACACTAATTCATGAAGCAAGTTAGACATTTTGATGTTCCGGACCTTTGCATGGGGACATTTTTTCTAACTGGACCTCGTTGAATTTTAGTTGAAGACCCCTGTCCTAAAGCATATAATCAGGCTACAGCGGTTGTGTATTTTATTATGTGAAGCACTAACTGGTTTTAGAAAAATAGGCCTCGCTCGGTTTGATTAGGCCCGGCTCACTTTAATGCTGCGCTTCCATTACAGTTTAGGAACTGGGGTAGTTACTATAGTAACGCAGTGTAGGCGGAGCCGTGACGTCATCTTCAATGAGCGCCCCAAAAAACAACACAGCCGTTAGCTCTTAGCACTCAGAGCTCACAGCTCTTCACAGCTCTTCATCCACGAGCTACCCACAATGCAACGCGCGCCATATATATATATATATAAGCCATTTTCCATTTTCCTGGAGGTGCAAATATCCTGGAGGTGCAAATATAAACAGCTAGCTAACGTAGCCAGGCAGAGCGCACTAGGTTTTTTTCTGAATTAACGACCGAAGAAATCACTGCATGTCTTCGGATTACATCTCTGGACTTGAGGGGTGTGCTCTATGTCGTTACCAGCGTAAACTAGAGCTGTGTGGGTAGTCGGATTGCCCTTACTGCCTGCAGATGTATGGAAAAACGACCCTCGAAAGTGGCCTTCGCCGATTTTGGCTGCATCTATCTCTAATTTCTGGAAACACCAGGTGAATACCCCACTTGTCACAATAATATTATCATGCCATTGCATATATGTGGTATTTTAGAGTTAACTAGATATTGATTAAGGCAATAGACTATGATATTCAGTAAAGGAAACTTAGCAACACCTAGAAGGTGTACGGCTAAACCCTTGGCCTGCTTGCACCTCGCGTACAATGGCAGATACCGGAAGTACGGTGTCGCCCTCGGCCCAATACCCGTATGTGTGTGTAAAAGAATATCTGTTCAAAAACTAGACAAAAGTTAAACAAGTACAAACCACAGACTGTGTCATGGCGAATACAGTCGCTGGTTTATTTATGTCTGTATAGGCCGTTGTTGTGAGTGTGGACGGTCGGAGCATATATAACGTTAGCTTAGCCAAGCTCCATTTAGAAAACACGCATTTTAAAAGGGTTTTTCGCCTGCCGTCTGTCTGCAGACTTGTCAAAGCATTAATTCATGGTTTTTACTAACCGGTATCAGTAGGTTGTTACTTCGGCATCATTTTGAAACGTGTATTACAATTAAATCACGGTCAAATATGTTCATCTTGTTGTAGTTGTAGCCCCCTTGCCAGCAATTCTCTCTCTAGTTTAGCATACTCAGCCCGACTCAGCCTGGTTGTTCCTGGCCCTAGAACCACGATTTAGTCGGCCCAGAAAAAAGGTGAAAAAGTAGCCCCGGGCCAAAACTAGGCCAAGTGGAAGCGCAACTAAAAACGGGCCCCGCACGGCTCGGCACGCTTAAAGCGAGCTACCCGCTGCAGTGGAAACGCGCCATTAGAGTTTTACTCGCTACAGGGTGTACTTTGAGGGGTTTTGACTCTGCAGACCGTTTACATAAAGAAAAACCTTTAATGAAAAAAAAACATTGTGTTTATGGACACATGGGAGATCTTTTTTACGTGAAATGTTAAACAGCTTGTGTTTAAGCCACTATTTTATTTAACACTCTCCTAGCTCCAATATTAAAACAATTCCACCACGGAGAGACTAAGACATCAGTAACAAACAAAAAACAAACAAACTGTATAAAGAATTTCTAATATAAGTTCTGAGAACATGTTGCTGTGACAGGAAAGCATTTTAATGACAGGAAGTGAGTTCTCTACAGCCAGTCAGATCTCAGGGGTTGCGAGGCCTCCAGCCGTTAGAGCTGTGATTGGTCGGTGGTCCGCTGACTGTTGTCCAGCTCCAGGAAGTCGTCCTGAGAGGAGAAGATGTCGGACAGCAGGTAGCAGCTCTCCTGCTTCGCCTCCTGTTGAGCATCCTGTTGAGCATCCTGTTGAGCATCCTGTTGCCGCTTGCTCTTCCTCAGCTGCTCCTGCAGGAGAGGAGTCACCCTCAGGTGCAGGAAGTCTATGATCTCTGCAACAGAAAGTGACATCACAGGTGAGGAGGACATCATGGTAGCTTAACTTAAATCAACTCAAACCGTTCATGCAGTACTCTGTGATATATATTGCAGTTCTCTGTGATATATTGCAGTACTCTCTGATATACAGTGAAGGAAATAATTATTTGATCCCTTGCACATTTTGTATGTTTGCCCACTTACAAAGAAATTAACAGTCTGTAATTTTAATGGTAGGTTTATTTTTAACAGTGAGAGTAAGAATATCAAAAAGAAAATCCAGAAATTGACATTATATAAAAGATTAAAATGTATTTGCATTTAAGTGTAGGAAATAAGTATTTGATCCCCTTTCAAATCATGTGTTAGTACTTGGTGGAGAAACCCTTGTTGGACACACAGAGGTCAGACCCTTCTTGTAGTTGGTCTCCAGGTGTGTGCACATCTCAGGAAGGATGTTGGTCCATTCCTCTCTGAAGACCCTCTCCAAACCCTTCAGGTTTTGAGGCTGATGCTTGGCCTCTGGAAGCTTCAGCTCCCTCCACATGTTCTATGGGATTAAGGTCTGGAGACTGGCTAGGCCCCTCCCTCACCTGAATGTGCTTCTTCTTTAGACACTCCTGTGTTGCCTTGGTCGTATGCTCAGGGTCATTGTCCTGCTGGAAGACCCCTCCATGACCCATGTTCAGAGTCCTGGCTGAGGGAAGGAGGCTATCGGACAAGATTTTACGGTTCATGGCCCCGTCCATCCTCTCCTCGATGCAGGGAAGTCCTCCTGTCCCCTTAGCTTGGGGACGGGTGGCGCAGTGGTCTGTGCGTTTGATCATCAGATCAAGGGGGCGTTGGTGAACTCCAGTTCGAAACCCGCTCCCGCCCCACTGCGTCAGGCCGTTGTGTCCTTGGGCAAGACACTTCACCCGAATTTGCTCCTGTGGGTATTGTCCACAGTATATGACCATTACATGTATGTATGATCTGTATGTGTAATGTGTATCTGTAAAGTGCTTTGAGAGTCATTGATAAAGCGCTATAATAAAAATATAAGGATTATTATTATTATTATATTAGCAGAGAAACACCCCAAAGCATAATGTTTCCACCTCCATGCTGACGGTGGGGATGGTGTTCTGGGGTTATAGTCAGCATTTCTCTTCCTCATGGGCGGCGCCAGGATTTTTTTGCTGCAGTAGCTTAGCAGTTGCTATATGACAGCACAGCGTTGCTAGTTACTTTTCAAAATAAATAAACAAACAATACCAGTGGGCCAAGCACGAGCCTGTTCATATTGTAGCGTTCACCGCTATTCAAGATCACAGATCACTCGAGCCTTCAATGTCGAAAACGTTCTCTTTATTTTCTGGTATTGACGGCCACAGCCACGCCTTACAGAACCAATCAATAGTATAACACTCATTATGACTTTTCCCCACACTCGAACACAACTCCTACCGTCTCGTACTCCCTCCACACACACCGGAAAACGCACACACACACCTGGAAGGGGCGGTCTCTCCCTAACTCCCACCAACAACATTGCCTAAATAACTTTACAAATGTACTAAACTGTGCACATCTGATAACTGAAATAACTATTAACTTGGTCACGCTACAATATTATCATTAATTACATTACATTACATTGCATTTAGCTGACGCTTTTATCCAAAGCGACTTACAATAAGTACATTCGACCAGGAAGACACAACCTTGAAGAAAACAGAATCATATAAGTACATCAGGTTTCATAGAGCCAAACATTTCAAGTGCTACTCAACTGGCTTTAGGTAAGCCAGCCCTTTATTAGTATAAAAGTGCTTCGTTAATAGTTCTAACGCTTGAAGTGGAGTCGAAAGAGATGAGTTTTCAGTTTGCGCCGGAAGATGTGCAAGCTATCTGCCGTCCTGATGTCAATGGGGAGCTCATTCCACCATCTTGGAGCCAGGACAGCAAACCCACGTGTTTTCGCCGATGGGAACTTGGGTCCCCCTCGCAGCGAGGGCGCAACGAGTCGTTTGGCTGATGCAGAGCGTAGTGCACGCGCTGGGGTGTACGGTTTAACCATGTCCTGGATGTAGGAAGGGCCAGATCCATTCGCAGCATTAATATTTACATTAAAACATTCCTTTGACACTTATAACATTACTTTGCAAGGTAAGCACAACCAAAATAAGTTTGTAAAAGCAGAATTTGAACACTGTTTCTGTGCTCCTACAATATGTTTGTATAATACCATTACACCATAGGCGGCGCGTGAGGCTCAGGTTTGGGAAGGCTAAATAACTTTTTTTACCTGACGCTGCCCGCCTCCGGCGTTAGAAAAGAGATCAACTCAGTGAAAGCACCGCCTGCTGACCAATCAGAGTTCAGTGTGCGGAGTTTAAATCTATCAAGTCATATTACAGGATAAAGGAAATACAGTTTAAACTGCCGTATGCAGCGAAGACGCCGACGTGTCGCACTTATCATTCATATCACACTGGTATCACATCATCAATCAGATCATCGATCATATAATATCGTAATGTATCATATATTTCCTCATCTGAGTCAGCTGAGCCGTATCTGGCCGTGCAACACTTACATTGTCACATACTGTATGCAGAAGTATTATTTTAAGCAACACATTAATATGACGAAACACTCAACTCAAATGTAATTAAAGTCAGATCCACTCGTGTCTTAGATGGAGCAGTAATATCATAAAACTGTTGTACGCTTTCAAACACTCGGTAGTTTATTTATTAACCAGTTGTTCTATATTCACCTTGCAGGTGCAACTATGTGGCTTGTATCCTGGATTATATGTTTAAGTCATGGACGTTTAAAGTTCATATTTGTCTAATATTAGTTTACTTTTCATCAATGAAGTATGATGCTGCGCGATTACATGTAAAGTCAATGCAGAGACGCGGACAGACGCAAATTCGCTCCGACGGCGAGCATGAAGCGGTGGACGCGGTGCGAATCACGCGATTGAACGGTGCCGCGTCAAACGCGAGAGTTCAATTTTTGCAACTCGAGTGTCAAATTCACGTGACGCGTTCTCGCGGAAGCCAATCAGCGGTGAGGATCTCAGCCTGCCGTCACTGACATTCAACCAGAAAACATCAGCTGTTAGCAGTTAGCACACAGAGCTCACAGCTCCTCATATCTGTTCAGAAACTGGACAAAAGTTAAACAAGTACAAACCACAGACTGTCTGTGTCATGGCGAATACAGTCGCTGGTTTATTTATGTCTGTAGGCCGTTGTTGAGAGTGTGGACAGAGCTATACAACGTTAGCTTAGCCTGGTCGACCCAATCTCCATTCAGAAAACAATTATTTTAAAAGGTTTTTCGCCTGCCGTCTTGTCTGCAGACTTGTCAAAGCATTAATTCATGGTTTTTACTAATCGGTATCAGTATGTTGTTACTTCGGCATCATTTAGAAACGTGTATTATAATTTAATCACGGTAAAATATGTTCATTTTGTTGTAGTTGTAGCTCCCGAGCCAGCGGGTCTTGTTTGAATGATACGAGTAAACACAGCTTACAGCCGCGGTGAAACTCGAGCGATTAGAGCGAAGCGAATATTCGCATCGCGTCCGGTGTGAACGTAGCATTAGCCTTCCCTAGCCTACAGTACCCGCCGCCCCTGCATTACACCCTAAGCGTACAAGTACACAATAGCGATCGTTCACTGTTTCAACTGCCAAGCTGTGGCATTTAACCTCATCACCACACCGCAGACAGACAGACAGACAGACAGACAGACAGACAGACAGACAGACAGACAGACAGACAGACAGACGCACGCACGCACGCACGCACGCGATTTCACCTTCTCCCAAGCCTTCTCTGAATCATTCAGATGTTCATTGTCAAACTTCAGACGGGCCTTTCATCGGCCTTCTTGAGCGGGGGACCTTGCGGGCGCTGCAAGATTGTATCCATTGGAATGCTGATACAGCATTCCAACTATCTGCTATACTACGCACAAAATTCTTTATTATTCCGCCTGTTATTTTGCACCTCTTCTTCTCCCACATTCCACATCACAGAAACTCTGTTCAAACATCAAAACGTTCAGCTCGGTCGGAAATCGATGGCTATTACTTTTCTCATTCATAACTTTCATAATTACAGAGATACATCCCATAATACATCACATTTTTAACATGGAAAAATTCTTCAGACTTCAACAAATCCTCATGCGAATTCAACTGCTAACTGTTCATTCATACTTTCACTCAAACCTCATTCCAACTTTAAAATGTTACACATCTTTCTGACATTATTCGTGTAAAACCACTTTTAAATCTGATTCTTACTTTTAGAGATATTAAACATTGTTCAGACCTTGGTAAAGAGGTTTTCTTCACATTTTAACATTAACTAGAGTGCGTGATGTCACAGAGTGGAGGAAATCTTGAAATTTGCCTTCATATATATATTTTTAAAACTGCTATAATTCCCAAACCCTACATTCCTGAGACATACTTTTTCATGACAAACGTAGGAAAACATCTCGTAGCTTGAAAAATGACAAATAATTAAGCAAAATAATTAAACAAAATGCCTCTTGAGGGCATGAAGTGACAAACACTTTCAACATGCCTCCATTAAAGCCCATTGTAATTTCAGGCTGATATTTCCTCACGGTAGCAGCCGCACACCTTTAGTTAAACTGCCAAAAAGGCCACATTATTAACCCGAAAGTACACAAAAATTACACTTCAGATACTCAACTTCCTTGACATGCTTCATGTTTTTGAAATTTCACAGATATCTGTTCTTCCACAAAACGTTCACATGTAAGAGGTTCATCTCTCATTCAGAACAATGGAAACCTGTGATCTCTACAGAGCTCGTTAGCTCAAATATAAACACCTGTGTCATGGAACACGATGATGTCATCACTCCAACTGACACGCTCAGAGCAGCAGACTCCAGATAAAGGTTAATGGTCCTGCCCTCAACAGCTCTACGTCAATTATGGGGTGTCCTCATCATATGTAACCTCCTAATGCTATA